ATCTGATAATTAATAAAATTCAAATAGGATTTATGAAAATAATACCAAAATCTGAAAATACGTCTCAATCAAACCAAAACCAACGAAGTCTCAAACGTCCAGACCTGTGATGATTTAAGATACCAACATTTGTATTCATCATTTTATAATCGATAAATACTGTAATTGTACAAAATGTTAAAAACCATTTAATGAATAAGTATTGGTATAAAAATTTCACCCCGCGCATGCGCGCGGGTGATCATCTAGTTATTAGATATAATGTGACCAATCAAATAATGTCTATTTTTATAATTAGTAAATTTTGTTAATTAATTACTATGTTCTACAAAATAAAAACCTTTTAATATTAATTCTTTTATTTTAAATTATTGTGAAATAAAAGAAGTAATACTGTATGTAATTGTTTAGAAAAATCTCAATGACAAAAACAAAACTTAGTTTATCATTTTTTGTTAACTTTTAGTAAAACCTTATAAACTCTGAAAATAAGAAAAAAAATAACAAAACATGCCACTTGGGTTTCAATTCAAATTACAACTTTTTTTTACCTCTTCCAATAAAATAGGAACACTATCATCATACAACTTTAAGTAAATACGTATTTTTGTATTTAATTCAATTAGCTCGAAACTTATAATTTTGTGTGGTCCTAAACAGGTTGCTCTTTAAGAATAAATGATCTCCATAATAATTTATATATATTAAACTATTCACACAATACTATTTTATTCTTTAAATTCATTATTGCTTTTTAATAGTCATACTTCTCACAATTTTGCTAAAATGTTAGCGCAAAATAGACACAAGAAAATAATTGAAATATCAAATGTTTATTAGAAATTGAAATTCTTTTCAATTACTTATAACGTGCTTACCCGCCCGTAGGGAGGGTTTTACCTAATTTTATATAAAAATTGGTTTAACTTGAATTTTTGGATAGTGATTCTAGATATTTTAAATATTTTATTACAATTTAATTTTGACTACTTGTATACGTTTTCAAATATTTTGGATGTTAAATCTAAAAATAACTAATATATATAAGCATATAAATATTATTCAGATATATTCGGGTACCCAAATTATTTCGATTCGGAGTGGTTCGGTTTCAGTTTTCTAGCTACCAAAATTTTGAATTTATTTAGATATTTTATCAATTTTGTTTCGGATTCGATACTACTTTTTCGGATCAAATTTGATTTGCCTTTTCGGGTTCAAATTGTTTGCTTGGTCCTAGTTATTCCCATTGTTATAAAGAAGATCGATCTTTTATTCATTAAAAGTCACACAATACTCATAAAAAATAAAACACACAAACATTACTTAAACTTATTAAAATAAAACTTAAACACGCACACTCACGATTTTCATCAAAGCCTCCTCTTCATGCTGCCACCTCGGCTATGTTTTGAGACTTCAGTGCTGTACTCAACCTTCAGGATGCATCAGCAGTGGCGGATCCAGCCGAAAATATAAAAGGTGTCAGTACAAGAATCAAACACTAATTTAGGGGTGTCAATATAACTTTTACCAAAATTACCATCAAACTTTCATTATTCTTAAGCATTTTTTTGAAATTTTGCAGATTTATGAGGTGTCATGTGACACCCCTCCTCCCTTAATAGATCCGCCACTGTGCATCAGCCATCTCTATCCATGCTCACCACGAAAAATCATGTTGTTATAACTTGGCTGATAAATTGTTTGCTTGGTCCTAGTTATTCCCATTGTTTTTTTTTTTCTTTTTACCAAAAAAAAAAAAAAAAATTTACCTGTTTTCAAGGGTCATCGCCACCTCCTCTATGTGATCGTACGGAAAGCTTACAAACATGACCGTCTCAAATGGTTTAATATTATATTAGATTTTGACTCGCACTTAAAAAGCACAGAAATTTTTTATGATTAAAAATTTATATAATTGGATTTTGTCTTAATTTAAAGAATGTTTTGGTATAAAATTAGTTTACTAAAACTTGTGGTGATAGTTGTTTTTCATTAGTTTTTAGTTTCAGTTTTTATTTTTAGATTTTTTTTTAAATTTTGGTTTTTGGTTTTTAGTTTTTTAAGTTTCTATTTTTGATATTCAGCTTTTGGTTTGGGTTTTTAATTTTTAGACCCGCTGAGTTAGTTTGAACTGATATTACCAACAAACAAATCTCAATTAATTGAACATGTAATTTAAAACTGAAAAGATGACAAAATAATTTTCTAAATTTTTTGAAATAGTTTATTTTGTAAATAAAAAAGCAAAAAATATAACCTGCGTTTTCAGCTTTTGGTTTTGGATTTTAGTTTTTAAATTTGGTTTTTGGTTTTACTTTACATTTTTTTTAAATCTTTAAATTATTTAAGAAAAATAAAACAATAAATTTTTTAAAAGTTACCATTAAATTTATCAAGATAGAGTGATTGTTATTTAAAATAAAAAATATTAACATGTTTTAAAGTACATGATTTAAATAAATGATTAATAATAGATAATTTTGTTTTGTTGAAAATATTAAATAGTTTTGGCTATAAAATATTAACATGTTTTAAAGTACATGATTTAAATAAGTGATTAATAATAGATAATTTTGTTTTGTTGAAAATATTAAATATTTTTGGGCCTGAAAATAGTAATTGATTTTAGATCCATTAAGGTGGAAAGTTTATTTAATGTTTTTTGGAGTTTTTCTTTAATACTAAGCCCAAAAACCAAACAATTAAATGTCATAAAACCAAAAGTAAGCCCAAAATTCTATTCAATAAATAACCGCCGATTTAATTTAAGTAATGCGGTTCAATCAATTATATAACTTGTATTATTTGTAACACTATAGAAAGGGTCCAAATTTAAATGACAACTTGTATCAGTAGATAAAAAGAATGACTCTATTTTAATAGAATAGATATATAACAATTTAATGAAATGTTTACAAAAATTAATATCTATGTTTGATGTATTTTTTGAAATAATAAGTTCTAGCCTTCTAAGTTAGCAATAAAATTTAAAGTTTTTCTTATAATGTATTTATATATTTTTGTAAAAAAATCTTAATTTTCCTTATTTTTTTCTTATTTTTATTTGAAAACATGGTATTTTTTTTCTTATTTTTATATTTGAAAACATATTTTTTTCTTATTTTTGCATTTGAAAATAATAACCCTGTTTACAAACATGGCCGGCTCAAGAAATTCTAAGGCCAACTAATTATTTTTCTTTTCTTATATATACTAGGTTCATAGCTCCGCGCAAGCGCGGAGCCGGAGACAGTGATGATGCGTTATGATGTTTTATAGATGGGATTTTGTCATTTTTTTGGACATTTTTTTGTTTGGGGTTTAACCGAAAACCCGCTTGAATTGAGTTGGTATATGAATGAGTGAAAATTCATATGCTTTGAAATATTCATATATTATTTTAGTAATGATTTTCTCTAATATTTGTGTTATTAGTGCTTTTATGTCTAGGATGGGTGATTTATTATGTTGTTATTGTCTAATTTGTAGGTTGGTAGTATATTATTGTTAAATAGTGAATTAGCATTTAAAAAAAAAATTAAGATTTTATTAAATTATACAAAGAAATATAGTTTAATGGATTGAAGAGAAAAAGATGAAACATGTTTGTTAAGGGGTTGTGTGGAATGTTTAGAGATCAATATTTATTAGTGAGTAAAGACCTGTTTTTATTTACAGATAAGGGTGTTTGACGAATTTATATGTGTTCGTATTTCTACATTTTTTTACGATTTAATTGGATCTTAATGTTATTAGTGAGTTAATAACCATATGTAACCAAATATAGGTATTTGTTACTATACAACTATAATATGGGAACGAAGAAGAAATAATTTTGTTATTCGAAAACAAATATAGTTTGTTGTTTTCAATGTGCCATGACATGTTTTGAAAATATATAACTGTATTTTAATAAATGCTAAGGCTTCGTATAATTATATACATGTATGACTAAGATAGTTATTTTTTTATATTTGTCAAAAATATTTTGTGGTAGTTTAAAAATGGGAATGGTAGATTAAAAAGTTTAGTCGTATAGGATTATATTCGAACACAATGAAAATGTAGTAGCTGGGTTTTAAATGATTGGACTTAAATTTGATGAGTCTTGAGTCTCAATTTAGATCTGAAACTGGATTGTTTACTCGCCCTTTTTGTTTCTCCTCGTCATCTTCAGTAGTGTGACAAGCTCTTGTGATTCTTGGTCTGATTGTATTTTTAGTGTGTCATTTTGTGAAATTATGGTTTTTCTATAGCAACATGGAAGAGAGATTAGCTCACCTCAGTTAAGGCTGTCTCCATCGCATTCCTTACTCAGCGAACCTCTGTTGATTCGGTGTTCTCGGAACCTGCAATAAGAAGATTTGAATTTGTTGTATGACTTTATTTCTATTATTATTAGTTTCGTTTACTAAAACCCATACTGAATGATTTGAGGTTCTATATGTTAATTTGGTTGGTATGGCTTACGTTTACTTTAACATGACAGAGAGACTTGAAGGCTGCATGACGGATGCCGGTGACGCTAGTTTTAGGAACTGGAGAAGGAGAAAGAGACATTTTCTAGAAGATTGTTAAAGTTAAGAGGAATAGATAAGTTTTGTGGATATGCACATAGGGTTCATCAAATATGAGAATCATATATATATGATTTACAGAGGGGCTACAAATCAGGAACATTTATGATCAAGCGATGTAAGATGGGGAGATGAAAAGTTCACCGCTGAAAAAAATAGATCACGAACAGACACACGGCGCAGCTCTATAACTCAGACATGTATGAGACGACGGTGAAAGGAATCTTAACTAATTTTAAACATTAACGGTTTACAATATGGGAAAACTGTAACTGTTGTAAACTTGAAGATTTTCTTCATATAATATGATGAAGTCCAATTAAAAATGAAACTCATAATACACTTCCAGACCCGAATTCTAAAGGAGGCCATAGATGCAAAGGCTTCTGGCTAAATATATATTAGTTTCGGCCATCAATGTACAAGTTATCTTGTAGTTTAGTGGTATGAATGTTAGTGTTTGTTTCTTAATAACCCGTGTTCGAATCATATGTTTGACATTTTTTCACATTTTTTAAAGTGGAACCCACGTAATGCTGATGTGGCGCGTTGAGGAGTCTTGAAACTCAACTATTATAATATAGATTATGGAATTTGTTTTTGAAATTGGACCCTTATCTCTATAGTTTTTTCAAAAATAAGACCCCTTAATAACGGATTCCCCTTAATAACATTGATTTTGCAACAAAAACAATTGGGCCTAAGACACTCCTCTTGCCTTATGCCCTGAGCCGGCCCTACTTACGAACTTGCTCCCATCATGATGATTTTGACCGTAAGTATTCTCTGACTCTATTCCGAGAGCACACTTCAGCCTGCATGCCACATTTTTGTCAAGTTAGCAAATTATTCTGCCAATTAATGTGTTTGGTGGATCAAATCAACCCATACCAAACTTAGGTAATTAAAGTTTTAGGAACTTTTTCTTGTTTCTTCTTGGCTTAAGCAAATTTATTTGGTTTTTATCTTTAAATTATTGGTATTAATTTTATAGAAGTTTTATTTATTTATTTATTCTACTAGGGGAAACCCGCGCTTCGCGCGGGATATGTTTTAGTTGTCTATTCTAAATCCTTATTTATATGAGACATGATCCTTGTATATGTATGCGGCAGCTGTAAAATTTACAATGTAGAGATCTCGTGTGTATGGTTTTAAATGTTTTTTTTAATGTATATGCTGGTTTGTATACTTTTCCATATCCATAAGTTGACTACAGTTTAGGTTTTGTTTGTAAGTTTGAAAACTCTATTACGTAATTGCCATATATGTGAGAATTAGTAAGATTATTTTAATAATCATGCTGAAAATAAGAAATAAAGACCATGACAGTACACATTATGCGCAAAATATGAAAATTAATTTAGTAATTTACTTCTAATAATAACTCTTGGAATAATTTGCTTCTCATCAACTGTTACAATGATATTCACTTTGGTTATGTAGATGAACTCAATAGTGTAGTCCAAAGTAGTTAAAAACCATTAGTTATGGTAGCGTTATGTCAAGACTAACGGGGCGGTATAACTCTATTATAATGTAAGATTTGATAATCTCTCTCTCTAAACGTATGTCAAAAATAACACTATTTTGATGTATTCTCTTCTTTGCTGCAGTGTGATAGCATATTTGGTATTACAGTGTAACAACGACAAAACTTTTTTTTCCAAGGCTGTTATACTTAAATAGTGTTTGACAATAGAAAATATTTTATTAATTATATTTGATTATATTTCACTTTATGGTTTTATTTTGTAATAAAATCTAATATTTAATAAAATAAACATACATTTATGTTTTGTTATCTTAACATTTATTAATATAAAATATGAAGGTATATGGAAAGTAACAAAAAAGAAAAAAAAACAAAAGTTAGAAAAATACGTAACAAAGTATAATTTAAACAAATGAAATATGAATTAATGATTAAAAACTAAAAATTGAAAGTTGCATACAATAAAATAAATTTTAAAACATAAGCTTAAATAAACATATAATAATCAGTAAAATATTATTTAATCCATTAGAATAATTAGAATATGGATTAAAAACTTATAAATCATTGTTTAATGTATAATTTTGTTTTAATAATAATATATTAATATATGTATTTGTCATATGATATATTAGATTTGAGTTGAAACTATTTATTTTTGAAAAAAGTGAATTTGTAATATCTTATTTAAATTGATATCAGTTAATATTTTTAACAGTAAGAATTATCCTTTTTAGTGTAATATTTCGTGTTGTGGTTGGACATACAAAAATATTTAGTGCTAAATCACACTAAATAATATAACTTCGACAATAAAATAATATCATAGGTTGGAGGCCCTTAGTATATGTATGCTGCAGCTGAAAGGTAAGAAATGGAATCCGATACATCTTTTTTTTTAATTAAATATACAGTTACAATTTTTTTTTAAAATTTTTTTTGTCAATCTTAATCTTACACTCTGACTGTTGGGTATGTCAAGAGCTGCACCATTGTTTGTAAACAAACTGTGCGGTGAGGTCACGTAGAGCAGAGGTACAATGTTAGTCCAGAATTCAACCATATACTAAAACCAAAGCACCACACCAGAAAGCAGAGAACGATTTTTAATTAACATCGAAAATAGAAACAAAGTAAATTATGACAGAGAAGACTACAACAGACACTGTCTTCTTGTAATAGAAGATATTCTTCTTTCATTAACAAACTACTGAATACTACTACTCTCTTCCCTACATTAACACCAAAAGACCAAGGACAAAATACACACGGTTGAGTCCTTTTCCTTCCAATTATAGATCTCGGTTGACATTTCTTAATTATAATTCAGGACTGTCCAGAAGCGGAGATTGATGAAGAGTCTTTCTTGTCTTTGTCCGATCCATCAGGGTTCTGCTCAGTATCAGAGCTTTTCTGTTTTATTTGAAGAAGAAGCTCTTGATTTTATTGGCTCAGACGTCCAGCTTCTTTACTTAGCCTCTCATTGACTATCATTATGTAACAGTTCTCCACATACAGCTTCGAGTTTAGCCTCTCCATAGCTTGCATGCTTGCTTTCCCCAAGAAACAAAAACAACGAAAATCATCGTGTGTAGCTCAGAGACTTTTAGTTGATTTTTTTTGAGATGTGTAAGATGACATATTCAGCAGTAGCAAAATTCTGGTGTGTATGGCTTCTCAAAAAAATAATAATCAGTCTGCAATAGACAACCATCGTCATCTCTCGTTTTTCTACTACGATAGTTGATATGTTTATAAACCCCATAAACGAACCCATTTGAACTTAAACTGAAGACAATACTAAAGATGTTATTATTAAAATGTGAGGTTGCTTTTAAATTATCATTATTTATGATGTCCCTGCTATGTAAAACAATGTAAATTTGTCTAAAATCATAGTTAGGCCAACAGATAACTGTATGCACACAGAATTTCAAGAAAAGAACACGAATATAAAATTTGAACTATAAAGATAACTGGTTATACTGGCATATAAAGTAGCAATTTCATTAAAAAGTCGAAATTCGGAAACACATACTTGTCCATCAGATAATAAAACTTCAATGTTGAGAAAGTTCGAATACCAAAATGCATAATATTAAAAAAAGCAGAAACAACTTGATTGTTATTATTGAGAGAAAATGCCTTCAACATGCGCACTACGCGTTCCGTGCCTTCTTTCACCGGCCTCTTCACCGTAACGGATACTCCACACTTGCTACCTCCACCAGCTTCCATCTTACTTCTCACGGGGTCATTACCGTGACTTGCATCGTCTTTGTCACCATCATCACCCTAACAAACATTCTCAGGTTAAATCATGTACATTGTAATACTGGCATAAAACATAGTTTTCACTTACATTATCAGAAAAATCAGGTCGTGGCTCACACTCACCTTCGCGGAGAATCCTGGTAATGGTGAAGTTCTGATGGTTTGACGTGAAATTGTATGGACCTACTTTCACTTGGAATGTGAACGACTTTCCCACCATATTTTTGACAAATTGAGGGAAGTCGGACTCTCCTGGGTTCTCACCCCCACCGGCCTGAACATAAAATTCATAACAGTATCAGCATGAGTTTTCAAACAGAAGCACTACTGGAATATAATCATGACCAATGAACAATTCATAGCATAAGTTGTCAAATATGCTATCTTCATATTTTCTACTTATATAAGGCACTAAAGATATCAGATTAAACCTTATTCACTACTAAGAATATGTACTGAAATATAATCATGACCAATGAACATTTCATAGCACAAGTTGTCAAATATGTTATCTTCATATTCTCTACTTATAAAAGGAACTAAAGCTATTAGACTAAACCTTATTTACTACTAAGAACATGTACAAATAATAGGGTTGATAGAGACGTACCAATACATTAGCAGCATCTTGGGCCCTCATGTTGAAGAGCTTCGCCATCACCCCATCGAATCCAACAAATAACCCTTCACCGGTCTTGTCTGCAATTGACATCTCCACACGATACCTACGGATCGAATAATTATATTAGCATGATATGTTAAGTTAGTTGTAAAATTCTAAGAAGATTAAAGCAGGCAGATACCGGAGGACACCAACTGCATTGGTGTTGTTGCAAGGCAAACACGTCAATGACGAAACAGAGTGCTGGAGTTTCTTGAAACACTTTGAACATGAGACATAGCACCATCCCTTGTCGAACTTGATTCCAGTTACTTCACCGGCACAAATAAAATCAGCATCCTGCACGATACAACACGAAAAGGCATCAGATGCGACACACCACAGATGGCACGATTTAAAACTCTTGATAACATACCTGAGATGCAGCGGTCAAGACAAAATCATTCAACTCCGATATACTGATCTTTTCCACCTTAGAATAACTCTTAAGCAGCGAAGCTACTGGTTGGAGGCCAGTTTCATGTTCCACCAGCCTATGCATAGACACAAAACACCAGTAGGTGAAAATAATATCTTGAAATAAGGTTATAAAATAATGTGTAGCAGAGACTTGAAAATCATATCATGAAATAAGGTTATAAAATAATGTGTAGCAGAGACTAACCTGTAGAACAATTGTTCCCCTGCACTCGTTTCCTTGTCGAAATAGATATGTGTACCAGACGTGGCGTTTAAAAAGAGCCGACCTGCAGTTCCAGTTGTCTAACTTTAGGACCGCAACATAAAAAAAAAAATCACACTTGGGTCATATTATTTGCTTACCTCCAACCATTTTTGGATTCACACTGGTTGCAACGATAACCCTAGGATCAACTACCATTCTATCCAGCTGATTATGAATGTTGACAGCCTGAGAGTCAAACAGGCTCATAGTCACAGACGTGTCATTGCATGATAAAAATAATGTATTATTATACAAACAAAAAATTTCAGAAACCAAACAATTTATTATTATACAAACAAATGAAGCCAACAATAATTCCAGATCGTAGAACCATACACAGAACACCTTATAACGGATGTTTATTCTCATTATCATCAAAATGTTTTTAAGATCTACACAGCAAACAGAAGACAGATGGATAATATATAAATCAAATAACCAAAAATCATTGCAAAATTAAACATTTTTCAGCACAAAACCGATTAACTAATTTTAAATATATTATAAGATCTACACATCAAACAGAAACAGATGGATCTTTATATATAAATCAAACAACCCAAAATCATTGCAAGAGTAAACATTTTTTTCCAGCACAAAATCGATTTAACACATCAGAGAGGATTCAAACTCATCACCTGGGAATCCAAGAGGAGCATGTCCACACCCATAAGCTCACCACCACGGCGGAAGTTCCTGGCTTCCCAGAAGCGGAGCAGACGGACTTGGACGGCGGAGGAGGAACGTCCGGCCTGGAGATCGGATAAGAAAACTGTCATATTAGCCATAGATGAATATTTCTGCAGAGTTTTAGTGCTTTGTGAATGGAATCAAGAACCGTAAAGGGCACCATTATATAGGTAAAAGCACATAAAGAGAGATAAATGTGAGAGTTAAGAGGATTTGAGTATACGAATCGTTGGCATCTAATCGTTTTGGATGAAGAGGAAAGTGTCGACGGCTACGTGACCGAAGCTTGAGAAACCTAGGGTTACTCATGTGTCACAGAACAAAAATGACTTAATGGGCTACGAATAATTTTCAGCCCAAGGCCCAACATTTTTAAAGATGTGTTTCGTTTTGTTCGCGAGAAGGCACAATACGAAGGGTGATTTAATGACGTCAAAAGATGACGTGGGAGGCTGAGAAGAGAGTATTGTTTTCTTTATAGTATAAGATTTAAGTTTTATTTTTGTTCATACTTATAAATACTCGTGATCTCTTATATGTTTATTTTTTTTCCTTATAAAATATTTTCATCTAACTTAACTATGATTAATTATACTTTATTTTTTATCGTGTGAACATATTATTATAGTTGATATATGTGTATATGTGTGTATGTTCTTATTGTTTTCTCATGAAATTAAAAATATTACAAAGGAGATCAACAATATATAATTTTGATTAGATTAAAAACATAAACTAGTTAATGTATAAATTAATTGACTAAATATTTTGTAACAAAATGAGAAAGGCCACAATTTCTAAATTTGCTTTAGGCCACCAAATGATTTGGGACGGCATTGGTATGGTGAGATTATGTATACAAATGCATAAGGCTTAAAACCACTATGATTGCAAGGAGATTTCCAAATACATGAAAATTTGAGGTTATGGTCACCACCACTGCCTCAGGGATGACATCATGCGATTATATCATCCTGTTCATTTGCTGGTTGGAACTCCTGGAAGCAAGGACGTCGTAGAAGAGAGGTCAAACAGTGCACAACTTCAGGGTCCACATGAAAAGAGGCCCAATATTTTTTTATTTATAATTTAGTTTGTTAATTTCCCTAAAAACAATTTGTTTTATATGAAACTGCTTTAACAAAAAATTATATATTTATTTTCTTAGATAAAAATGATTTAATATATCTTATAAGTAGATTTATTTCAAATTTCAATAATGTATTATTAAAATTTTATTATGTTAACTATTTTGATAAAAAAACTTCCAAATTTACATTTAAGACTCAAAGTACTTGTTTATTCGCTACAAAAAAAATAAAAGGTTTTCAATAATGTGAGTGTCTCTTTCCTCTCTTTCATCTGTAAAATCTTGCGGTAAGTAAATTTTTTCAATGCAAAAATTTTCTTCACACAATCTTAGAGCATCAGTAACTCAGATACTTAATTAGGAGTGTTTGTTTTCTTTTTTAATAATTTAAGTTGTAAAAGTAATTAAGCACCAATACTTTCTTTTTTGTCTATTTTCATTTTTTTAAATCTGAAATTACTAAACACCCCTCTTAAACTACTGCATTAATGGTGTTCTTATGTCTTATTCATCCACATCATTTCCTTTACAATAGCACCTCTTAAGTTTTCAATAATTACGAAATAGCGTCGTAAGTTTTACTATTGTCATTATCATCCGCTAATTTAAAAATAGAGATCCAAGAAAGGGAAACCCTTCATTCATTTGCTAGGAAACTAAAAAAAGAAGATGATGATCGGTAAAATAAACAATCCAAGAATTAAATAGTGTCTCCTCTTTCGAATCTCCACCACTGGAACCAAGATTCTCAATCAAGAACTTCTAATAAATAAGACATGCAACTCATTGATGAAAAGAAAGGAACAAAAACTCGTTCTGTTTTTGTATTCTCCTCGTCGTTTAAACTCCTGAAACAACACAAAAGTTAAGATAAAAATGTCGTTTACAGGAACATTGGATAAATGCAAGGCCTGTGACAAAACCGTCTACGTCATGGATTTGTTGACGTTAGAAGGAAACACTTATCACAAAAACTGCTTCAGATGCAGCCATTGCAATGGCTCTCTCGTGGTACGTCTTCTTCTTCTTTCTTTCTTCATTGTTATTCTGTTTCGACAATGCTTTGAAACTCTTTACTCAACAGATAAGTAACTATTCATCAATGGATGGAGTTCTTTACTGCAAACGTCACTTTGAGCAGCTTTTTAAAGAATCTGTCAAGAGTTTTCAGACAGGTCTCTTTATTTAGTAATTGGTTCTGTTTTCGAATGTTTTTTTTCATTTGTTTGTGCTAACGTTATTTAATTAATTACAACAGGAGGAAAGACAGAGAAGCCGAATGATCAGCTGGTAATGAACTTATATAACTCTTTTTTATTTTGCATGTTTTCTTTCATCCTTCAATCTGATTTTTTTTTCTTTTGAATATTCAAGACTCGAGCTCCAAGCAAGTTATCTTCATTCTTCAGTGGAACACAAGACAAGTGTGCTGCTTGTCAGAAAACCGTTTATCCACTTGAGAAAGTTACAATGGAAGGAGAATGTTTCCACAAGACTTGCTTCAAGTGTGCACACAGTGGTTGTCCTTTGACTCACTCTTCTTACGCTTCTCTCAACGGTGTACTCTACTGTAAAGTCCATTTCAACCAGCTCTTTCTTGAGAAAGGAAGTTACAATAACGTTCATCAAGCTGCTGCTAACCACCGTAGATCAGCTTCTTCTGGTGCCTCTTCTCCTCCTCATGATGATCAGAAACCTGAAGATGAGGCTGTGGTTCCCGAGGGAGAAGGAGGAGGAGAAGAAGAAGCAGCCCCTGAAGCTGAAGGAGAAGAGCCTAAGCCTGAGGCTGAGTAACTATCTTATCAGTTCCCAAGTTTTATATGCTTTTCTGTTTAAAATGAATATATGTATACAATCCATTGCTAATTTTTTATGTAAATTATTGTAAAGCTTGGAGAGAATCTGTTGTAAACAAATCTTTAACATCCTTTTTTAATTGAAAGAGGACACTTTCTTTGATCTTTAGCTATGAGAACAAGTTCTTGTTCTGAAACAAATGTTATAACCAAATATTTTATTTTTTATAAATCAAAATTCAAAACATAAGGAATCAGCATGCAAACATACTTCTCTCCATTTCTTGTAATGTAAATAATCAAAAGTTGTACAAAAACTCGCCAAGAACAATCAAACTCTGATACTGTGTTCTTGAGATGGATAGTGTTTCAAGACATGAACAGAGCCTTGCATTTTGCCATTGTATCGTCTGGACTAGTAACTGCAACGCAAAAAAAAACAATCTTACTGGTCATGAATATGTCACTAACACAATCACATACAGAGATTAACTACATAATCTATCTCACGAACTGACCTGAATGGCCAATTGTTTTTGGTGATTCATAGATTTCATAATCGTTTCCACCCTGAAGGAAGATAAAACCGTGTTTTTACACATCAAGCTCAATGGAAAATCATACAAAAATTAAAGAATTTTTGAAGGTTAAGTTTAGTTTATTTACCTCATAGGTTTTGTCACCGAAGAAATGGATTTCAGTAAAGTCTTCAAGGTACTGCAAGCAGTAAGTTTTATCCCAACCTTTTGGGAAGACCTGAGACATAATAATGGATCTAGACTTAGTAACACAATAATTTGTTATAAGAAATTGTTATAATCCACATTTTTGTTCCAACTCACATCAAAGCTAATCTGTCCGCCAATAGAGAAAGTAAGGTTAAGATGCGCAAACCGCTCACGAAGTTCAGCCACCATCTTTGGTCGAATGTTTTGAACCTTTTAAAGACTTAAATGTTAGAATGATACCAGTTAAACAATGCTCATGATTGATTATATAAGAAACAGAACTAAATAGTTTCTTTTACCTTATCATATCTCTCGAATTCGTCTCTTTCCTCCTGACTGCAGTTGCGACCAATCGGTGACACATTGAGCATTCCATTTCGGAATTCTATAAATGTTCCTCTGTGTAAAAAAATTTCAACAAGACAAATATTTATTAACTTCTAAAATAATTAAACTATGAGTAAAAACAAGAGGTTTTCCTTCATAAGTACCTTTTGATTGGAATATCCAAGTCTGCAATGTAGTGCAGCGAGAAATTAATCAACTCCTGCATCACCAAACGTACACTATCACCAACTATTCAAACACATTTACTTGCATACACTTCACCACCAATTAAATAGCTAAAGAAGCAAAAAAAAAAAAAAACTTTGTGTTTTACCTTGAGTTTATCTTCTCCAAGGTGCAGCTTCAGGCTCTGAGAAAAAACGATACAAACTATTAAGAAACGATCAAGCAGCAATGTAGGTGAGGTAAAGGAAGTCGTTTTCATATGTACCTGGATTCCAATGGGCTTCCCATCTTTATGGGCAACAAGACCATTCTCAGAGAAACAATAATCATAGTCTGTGGTGACTGCAAAAAAATTACAAACACAAAATTATTAGCCAAACAGATGGACACTCACAAGGCAAGAAGGTAGAGCCAGATATTAGATTCCCTATTAAGATAATTAGATAAAGACAGAAACTTGGAGAATCTAAACACATTCCAGAACCTGAACACCCTACTAATCGGTAGATCTAAGATTCTCTATTAAGAAAATCAGATAAAGACAGAGACTTGGAGAAACTAAACACATTCCAGAACCTGAACACCCTAATAATCGGTAGATCTAAGATTCCCTATTAAGAAAATCAGATAAAGACAGAGCCTTGGAGAAATCAAACACATTCCATAATCTAAACACACTAATGATCAGTAGATCTAAGATTCCCTATTAAGAAAATTAGATAAAGACAGAGTCTTGAAGAAATCAAACACATTCCATAATCTAAACACACATATTAATGATCAGCAGCTATCCCAATATAAAGACTCAAAGGATCTTATGTATCTTTGTTGTTAATGGATCTAGTCAACGATCTAAAGCAAAGAAAGTCTCAGCTTCTACAAGGATCCCATATATATAACAGTCACAGAGAACACACAAAAAAAGAGTGACCTTTCTCAGCACTATAAGTAAAGATCCTATCTTTAGATACCAAATCAAGTTTCTAAAAACAGAGTATAATTTTTTTTCCAAATCTGATCACATTACATACCTGTTTTGCCAAGCTGCTCAGAAATCTTGCTAAGATCAGATCCACCAACAACTCCAACAGTAACCACCTGAAACTCTCACAGACATTTCATCAAACACTAACCAGGCATTATTAAAACTACAATAAATCAATCACACACACACACATACCTTACGCAATTCTCTGATGAATTCGAGCAATTCAGGAGTAGCTTCCTTCCTTGGAGCAGTGAGAGTACCGTCGACGTCGAACAAAGCGATCACTCCTGGCTTCTTGGCCGCCATTGAAGAAGGGTGAAGAGATTTGAAAGTGGAAGATGATGATGGTAATGATAATGGATGTGAATAATAATAATATAGACGAGTGGACCGATCTGATCTTAACGAAAGAGTGTCGCTTAATATATGGTCCTTACTTTTTGTCCTAGAGATCTGTGATTGGTTGATTAAATAATCGTGACGCATTAAAATCATTATTTCTCTAGATACTATGGTAGTATGGTTGAATTTAAACGTAAGCATTACAACATTTCTTAGGATTCGAATAAAAAGTGTTCTTGTTTACATTTGGAAGATGTTGGCAGGAAAAGAATATACTTGGAATCTGTTATGGTACGTAGGGTAAGTATAGGGGTCGAAGACGAATTAATTATTTTATAAAGAGTTTTAGTAAGTTTTATTTGATGGGCCTGGTGAACTAGAAGCCCACGAATATCGTGAGAAGAGGTCATACCGGCGCCATGGCTTGATTGATATAGCATTAGCATAAGCATTATGCTCTCTATTATCCAATCAACATTTGTCGAAAAAGCATTTGGAAAAACATTTACCAAATGCTAATGCTCTCCAAATGTTATTTGCTTAATGCTCTCCAATAGAGCTTTTGGTAGAGCATTTGCATTTACAATATATAAAAAATTTAAAAATAATTATACATAATTAATTTATTGTAGTTTAATAATACAAAAAATATTTTTATAATCAAAAATAATTTTATATGTTAAAAATTAAAATAAAATTATAATTAAATATTTTTAAATTATTTAAAATAACAATATTTCACATTTAAATATAATATAATTTATATAATTACACATATCGTTCATTATTTTTAATAACAAGCATAACATAATATATATTTATATATTATAAACATAAACATATATATATATGTATATTAATTATACATTAATAAATAAATTATATAACATATATTAATTTTTATGAATATTTTATATATGAATCATTTAGTGCTCTATCAGTAAACAATAATAATTTATATATAATTTATTTATTTATTTAATAAAAGTAAATATTTTAATCTCCAAAAATAATTTAATATATTTTTAAAAATTACATTTTTAGATAATTATATTTTACATATAAACTTTAATATAATTTATATAATGAATAAGATTCATTATTTATAATAACAAATATATTTTGAATATATATTATAAATATATTTTAATATAAATATTTATTTATATTAACTATTATAATAATTTTTAAAATTATATACTGCTATTGCTCTTCCAATCACTTAATTAAAATTTTTACTGAAAGCATACAGCTTCTTCAGCATACAGCTTCTTCAGCATACAGCTTCTACAGCATACTGCTAACGCTTTATCATCTGTCGTACCAATCGAGGCCTAAATCCAGTTCATGTTCATTCAATTTTTCTTCCATAACGTTGCATCAAATGTTCAAAAAACTAGAAGGTGGTAATAAAGCGTTTTATAGAAATCCCCCTATATATTAGTAAAAGAGAAGTCACTTTAATGAATTTTGCTTACATGTCATTCATAGGTGCAATGTAGAATTAATTCTCTTAATTTGATTGGTTGTTGGCATTTGAATTTTTATTTATTTAATTAAAGTTTTTTAAAAGGAAACTAATCCTAAAATTACCTAATCTAAGTGAGAGAAGATATGGTGATGATAAGAATTAGAGATTCGGTTATGATCATAATGAAGATGAAAAAGAATATAAGTGAGAGACTGAATATAAGTGAGATCGATTCTGAAATCATTTATTAATACTATGTCAAAGTGTTTAGAAGATTTAACAAAATCTGGTGAAAATTTTGCAACCAAAAAGAGATAGAAACAGTATTAAAATAAAATATTGAGGATCATATTAAGAACGAGGGTAAGAGAATGAATATAGGTGATTGTGAGAGAGTGAATGTAAGTTTGAGAAATTTGAGATTATTTGATCAACTAAGAGAGAGAGAAAGAAAAAGAGAGCGAGAGAGGTGTATAAAGACATATAAAAATAATGCAGAGAGAGATACATAAGAAACAAAACGAATGTGTGAAAATATACAAGGAGAAACGAAATGAGTAAACTAGAAAAATATATTAAAAATAGATTATCTATGTAAAAGATAAAGAAAATTACAATATATTTATACATTTATATTATTTTTTATTCATGCAATGTATAGATTATATTATGTCCGCACAGGCGTGCGGGCTTTCCACCTAGTTATTGATTAACTAAGCATTTAAGATTTTTTAAACGTTTATACCTTTTTCTTTTCTTTTTTAAAGTGTTTTATTTAAACCCGATTTGCTGTCTGATTGGGTGTTTAAACCGATTTTAAAATACTGTTTCTTATCCATCTTTCTTTCGTAATCAATACAGCACATGCTAACTGCATACATCAGAATTGTGTTGTGATTTTCTTCGGCTCGTTACATTCTAAAGCAACTGATCGATCACTCTCGTGTGCCAAAACT